TGAAGGTATATCTTTAGATCTTGCAATCGAATCTGTTAGTTTCCTGTTTTATCACTAGTTTGGTTTATAAAAGAAACTACAAAAAAATGGAATTGAGGTGGTCTCATATTGTTCATCTTTATAATGTATTTCTTGAAAATGATGGAAAAGAAAATTGTGCTCAATTGATAGAAGAATAATTCAATAAAATGTTTGGCATAAAACTTTGAATGATGAGCATGATTGCAATGCTGCTAGTATTAATTCTTTGAATATCCATGATGCTAGTGATATGCAACGCCATAAGTTTGATGAAGATGATAATTTTAGTCCCCCAAGTTCTGATGAGAAAATTTATTATGATGAAAGCATGCCTCCTATTTATGATGATTATATTGATGAAAGTGGATTTGGAGAGGTCATGACTTTATTTAGTGATGAATCCACTATTTTGGAAGAGGTTTCAATTGACTATGATAAAAGTTGCTATCTATGATGATTATGATAATGACATCTATGCTATATTAAATAATGATAACCATGAAACTTGTCATCATGATTTTAATTTTCAATCACATGATAGTTATTTTGTTGAGTTTCCCCCCACTACTATTGATGAGAATAAATTTGCTTATGTGGAGAGTAGTAAAATTTCTATGCCTGTGGATCATGAAAAGAATGCTTTATGTGATAGCTATGTTGTTGAATTCATTCTTGATGCTACTGAAAATTATTATGAGAGGGGAACACATGCTTTTACATACCTCAATAATATCAAGTTTCATCTCTATTTGTTGACAATCTTGAAGTTTTGGTTTGTTTGCCTTCCTATGCTAGTTGATTCTTGCTCCGAAAAGTTATTTGCTTAGAAAATCCCTAGGCATAGGAAGTGGGTTAGGATTAAATGTTCTTGCCATGTGTTTCATGATGCTCTTGTTATGTTTCAGTCCTTATCTTTTATGCGAACATCATTGAACTCATCATGCCTAGCTAAAAGGCATTAAAGAAAAGTGCTTGTTGGGTGACAACCCAAAACTTTTAACTACTATTTTTGTGTGTTCACATGATTATGCTACTGTAGTAATCATGTTTTATTGCTTTTGTTTCAATAAAGTGCCAAGTAAAGCCTTTGGGATAGTGTGAATAATAGTTGACTTGAATGTGTGCAAAAACAGAAACTTTTGCGCTCAGGCCAGGAATTTTAAAAATTCACTGGAACATGATTTTGATCTGAATTTTTTACAGGTGATAGATATACAAATTCCATACGTTGTCCTAATTTTTCAGAAGTTTCGGAGTAGCAGAAGTATGGTTGTTTTCCAGATCATTACAGATTGTTCTGTTTTTGATAGATTCTATTTTCAATGCATAGTTTTCTTGTTTCCTAGTTTCTATGGCTTACATTGCTCAATATAAATTGTGCAAATGATAGGGTACAGTAGGCATTGTGTGAGAACAATTATGAATCATTTATTTGATAGTACTAAAGTGAATGATTTGCTTTATCATACTAACATATCTCACGAAGTTCCGTTAAATTTTGTGTGATTGAAATATTCAAGTTTTGAGTGAGATATCAATATGAGGAGAATAAGCAGTGACAATATCCTAAGCTTGGGGATGCCCAAGGCACCCCAAGTTAATATTCAAGGAAGATCCAAACAACTAAGCTTGGGGATGCCCCGGAAGGCATCCCCTCTTTCATCTCCAACATTATCGGTAATCTTACTTGGGGCTATATTTTCATTTGTCACATGATATGACTTTTGCTTGGGGCATAATTTTATTTTGTTTTTATTTGCCTGCTTCTGTTTAGAATAATGTTTTGCATCTTTTATTTCAATAAAAATGTCAAGTATAGCCTTCACCATTCTTATTTTGCAAGTATATGAGTTGTTGTTTCAAAACAGAAAGTTTATCGATGTTGCAAAAATTCTCTAGAAAAGTCAGAATGTGATAAAAGGTTGATTTTTTTGCATAGTAAGATATAATAAATTCTCTATAGTGTGGTAATTTTTCAGAATTTTTGTAGTTAGGTAAGTATGATGGATATTGCATACTTTACAGACTGTCCTGTTTAGACATATTGCTATTATGTTTGCATTGTTTGCATATGTTTGCTTGTTTAACGATTCTATTTGAGGATAGGAGTATTAAATATGCAGATGCATTTAGTATGCAATGTGCAATAATAATTTTAGTGATTTTATACAGTAGAGAATGACAAAGTGTTGCATTGATTTATACTAACTTATCTCACGAGTTCTTGTTGAGTTTTGTGTGGATGAAGTTTTTGAGATTTAGGAAAACTGTGATATGAGAGGAATGAAGAATACACAAGAGCTCAAGCTTGGGGATGTCCAAGGCATCCCAAGTTAATATTCCAAGAAGTCTCAAGCACCTAAGCTTGTGGATGCCCCGGTAGGCATCCCACCTTCCTTCATCAACAATTATCGGTTAGTATTGGTTGAGCCTAAGTTTTTACTTCTTCACATGATGTGTGCTATTCTTGGAATGTCATTTTATTTTGTTTTGCTTGTTGTTTTAATAAGATACTTAGATCTGAAAGTTTTTAAATAAAAGAGAGTCCTCAAATAGCTACCTAATTATTTAACTACGCATTTGACCTTCACTTATATCTTTTTGGAGTAGTTTGTCATTTACTCTCGTGCTTCACTTATATCCTATGAGTAAATTGTTGAATGAATTGAATGTCATGAAGTTTAAATTATATGGTCATATCATGCCTAGTAGTATATTCACATTGGGTTTAGAAAGTGAACTCTTTTGAAGCTTGATAATCACAATATTGGTCATACAAGCAATTCATGAATGATTACTATAAGGAAGAGAACTTTCACATGCAAATATATTATCTTGGACATCTTCTATGATTGTAAATACCCATTAATTATTTTCGAACTTGAGCAAATTAGTTGAAGTTGGACAAGGAAGACAACATAATGAGTTATGTTTGGGTATATTTGCATAGAAGTTATATTGTCATGGATCCTCCAACATTGGTGTTTGCCTAGGATCTTTTGCTATCCAAAAATTCGTACTAAGTAGAGATACTACTCGTGCATCCAAAAACCCTTAAACCCAGTTTCTTGCCATAAGTGTCCACCATAACTACCTATGGATTGATCCGTCAAGTAAGTTGTCATCAGTGCATATAGCAATAAAAATTGCTCCTAAATATGTTTGATCTTTTATTGTAAGGAAAACTGAGCGTTGTATGAACTTGTGATGACAAAGTAATAAAATTGACAGACTGCATAATAAAGGTTGCTATCATAAGGGGCAATATAACGTGACGTTCCTTTGCATTAAGAGCTTGGACATCCAAATAAAAAGCGCATGACAACCTATGCTTTCCTCTATGAAGGGCCCATCTTTTACTTTTCAGTATTTACTTTTATGCAAAGAGTTAATAGTATGCATTCTCATTCAACCTCAATTATTCTCTAGTTGGCAATCATCATGTGGTGGGGAAAGATCTACGCACATATGACTAGTCAAATATATTTGATCATGATTTATTATTGTTGACAATTATCTCCACGATAAATGAGTTGGGAGGCGAAACATTAAGCCCATATCATTCTTTGTGTTCGATATATGCCATATGTTCTAAGAATATGCTTTGAGTAGTAGGAATCATGGAAGACTATATGATGATTCAGTATGTGGAGCTCTTACTTAGCTCTGTTAAATAAGTTGAATTGCAATTGTTTGGTGACTAAGAATATAGGTTGTTGAGTTTCAAGAGAATTCATTGTTTGAACCTTAACATGTGAATTGGTTGCTACTTTAATATGAGAAGTTTTATTAGAAAGAATTACTATTATGATGCTAGGAAAAGTAATTGAAATTATCAGTGATCAAACTTATGCACTTTGCTAGCATTCACACTTCATAAATTATTTCTTTTATCATTTACCTACTCGAGGACGAGTAGAAATTAAGCTTGGTGACGCTGATACGTCTCCAACGTATCTATAATTTATGAAGTATTCATGCTGTTATATTATCTTTCTTGGATGTTTTACAATCATTTTATATCAACTTTATATCATTTTTTGGGACTAATCTATTGACATAGTGCCCAATGCTAGTTGTTGTTTTTTGCTTGTTTTTTACATCGCAGAAAATCAATACCAAACGGAGTCCAAACGCAGCAAAACTTTTTGGAGATTTCTTTTGGACCGGAAGACTTCCAGTGGGCCAAAGAAGTACCAGAGGGGTGCCCCGAGGGGGGCACAACCCACCTGCGCCCGCCTGGGGGCCCAGGCACGCCCTGGTGGGTCGTGCCCACCTCGATGGCCTCCTGCACCGCCTCTTCGCCCTATAAATTCCGAAATATATAAAAAATCCAAAGATAACCCTAGATCAGAAGTTCCACTGCCGCAAGCCTCCATAGCCACGAAAAACCAATCTAGACCCTGTTCTGGCACTCCACCGGAGGGGGATATCATCACCGATGGCCATCTTCATCATCCCTACAGCCACCATGATGAGGAGGGAGTAGTCCACCCTCGGGCAAGGTTTTAAATAGCGGGCACTATGAACGCTATTGCGGCCGCTATTGCGGCAGCGTGTCCTATCCGCTACAAGTCAAATGCTGCGCTAGGAAATAGCATGTTTGGCATGATGCGGCCGCTATAGCGGCTGTCAGAGCGCAATAGCGTACATTTAGGTAGTGTTGGTTGCGGTCATAGCGGACTTGTACCTGGTATAAATTCGAGACGCGCACTGAACCGGCCAGCCCTAACCCTAATACAACACACTCCTCTCATTCCCGAGCGGCTGGCGGCTGGAGGCTCCCAAGCGGCAACACAACCCCTGCTCCCCAGCAGCAGTAAACGCCAGAGGCCGGACGGAGAGGCTGGCCGGACGGTTGATGGCTCAACCCCCATAGCCCCTGCCCCATTCCCGTTCGTTGAGGCCGCAGCCACAGGGCGGCCACTTCCTGCTCCTGCTTGACGCATTTACCTGGGTCGGACAAGGGGCCATCTCCGATGACGGCGACAGGCCAACAGAGGGAGCCCCCTTCCTGCTCGACGCAGATCCGCAATAGGACGGTGACCAACGATGAGGCAGTCCCCTTCCTGCTCGACGCCGTACTGCTCGTCTACTCGTGCTCTGCTCCTTCTGGCTCCGTCCGGCTGCTCTGCTCCTTCCTGCTCTGTCCGGCTACTCTGCTCTGCTCCGACTGCTCTGCTCTGCTCCAATCGGGCAGCTCTCACCATGGTTCATCACTTCAAAGATTCAAGGTATTGGCTTTTCTCTGCTTTTCATATACACAGATCGATGCATAGTTTAGTACGTAGATGAAATTGGGGGGAGCTGGGAGCTTAGAGCATATAAGTATAGAATAGTACGTTACTAATAGTCACTGTTTTTTGTTTGTACATAGGCCACTGCTCACTGCGACACTGACCACTTAGTTACTAGTTAGTAGTTCGGCTAGAACAAGTACTGAAGCACCAGATGCATAAAGTTTAGTCTGGTACTGATAAATTAGCACAATAGTACTATACTGAGTACAGTCTCTGCATTTTATCTGTAGTGTTACATTTTTATTTATAAATTCAGTTTATAGTGATACACTTGCATAGGTTTGTAATTCAACAAATCAACTATCTGCACTAGTAATTCAGTCAAATTAATAGCTTATGTTTCTTTCTTTTCCTGCAGTTGTAGGCTACTAGCACAATGTCTTCAGCCGGATTAGGTGCTTCGTCTGCAGCCGCAATCACAACTGGAAGAACGAGAAAAAAATGCAACCTGGGAGCATGCTTTACCAATTACTGAGTTTAGGACCAAGAAAAGAGTTGGGTGCAAATATTGCTTGAACTTTTATAATGGTGTCATTACAAGATTTAAGAAGCACTTGGCTGGATTGAGAAAGGACTGTGTACCTTGCACGCAGGTTCCTGATCATGTTAGAGAGCAAATGAGTGCATTGATAGCTGAGAATGATAAAAAGAAGGATAAATCACTAAACAAAATGTTGGCGCTGCGAGAGTAGGTCAGAGGGATGTATGATCAGGGTGGGAATGAGGATGAAGATTGCGAAATTGTTGAGTTTTCTCGTGCAGCAAGTGGAAGCTCTCAACTTCCTAAGAAGCCTCTGATCAAGGGTCCAATGGACAGGTATCGTCCACGGCCAGGAACAGGGAAACAAACAACAGTGAATGCTCAGTACAAGATCAAATAAGCAAAGACAACTTATGATTATATCTGCGAGTTCTTCATTGAGGGTGCCCTTGCACATAATGTTGCTAGTCTTAAATCATTTGCTCGAATGGTGGAAGCAATTGGATAGTTTGGTCCAGGATTGAATCCACCTACACCTTATCAGCTTGCCAATCCTTTGTTGAAGATACAAGTTAGCAAGGTAGATGAAATGTTGAAGGTCCAAAAGGAGGCATGGGTTTCAACTGGATGCTCTATAATGACGGATGCTTGGACAGATCACCGTGGAAGGAGCTTAATGAATTTGGTTACCCATTCTTCCAGAGGCGTGTGTTTCCTCCATGCCATTGAAGCTTAAATGGAGGTTCACGATGCCAAGTTCATCTTCAGCTTGGTCATGTCTTGCATTTCTAAAATTGGTGCTGAAAAGATTGTTCAAGTAGTCACAGACAATGCAAGTAACAATATTGCAGCAGCCACAGCCAAGTTACTTAAGCAGAAGCATCCTCAAATATTCTGGACCTCATGTGCAGCCCACACAATCAACCTAATGCTCCAAGACATTGGAAATATACCCATAGTCAGCTCAACAATTACCAATGGTAAGACCATCACAAATTTCTTTTATGCACACACTAGATTGTTGGCTATTCTTCGCAAGTATGCCAAAGGTGATTTAGTCAGAGCTGGTGCTACTCGATTTGCAAGTCACTACTTGAACTTGAAGAGTTTGTATGGAAAGAGGAAGCAGCTGAAGCTAATGTTTGCATCAAATGATTGGGCTGGCAGTAGTTATGCTAAGAAGCCATTGGGAAAACGTGTGTACAAGCTCGTAATGGACAATAAGTTTTGGGCCAAGATAAACCTGCTAGTGAATTATTTTGAGCCACTTGCCAATGTGCTTAGGCGGGTTGATGGAGACACTCCAGCCATGGGGTTCTTATATGGTGATCTTCTCCAAGCAAAGCAGGAAATAGCAGTCCGGCTCAACCATGTTGAGAAATATGGTCCTATTTGGGAGATCATAGATAGAAGGTGGGATACAAGATGAAAACAGCGCTGCACAAAGCTGGTTATTTTTTGAACCCTTTCTTCTACTATGATAGATAGAGTGAAATGGCTGAAGAAGATTTCATGGAAGCAGTCATAGAGTGTGCATCTGTTATGTACAAAAATAACACAGAGGTGCAAGACAATATTGTCTCCTAGCTTAGTTATTACACCGCAGCCATAGATTCATTTGGAACTGAGATGGCCATTAGACAACGCAAAGTAGCAACTATCACTCCTGGTAAGAATGCTAGAACTTGTGAGAGTCTTACTTGAATGTTGCAACCTGGTAGTGATGTACTTATTTATTTGTTTGACTTGCTTGTTTGCAGAAAGATGGCGGACCGTGCATGGAACTTCTGCAAAGGACTTGAAGAAGATGGCTATTAGAATCTTGAGCTTAACTTTTAGTTCTTCGGCATGTGAAAGAAATTGGTCTGCATTTGAGAGGGTAATAACATCCCCAATTAAGCTATTCCTCAATTGCTTAGTTTCTTACCATTTTTTGTTTGCATCTTGTGAATTACTAAATGGCATGTACTATTGTATTTGTGTTTTAGGTACATTCAAAGAAGAGGACCAGACTAGGCCAGAAGAAGTTGAATGACCTTGTTTATGTGATGTTCAACAAGAGGCTGGACTTGAAGTACTCCGAGAGGGAAAGGGACCCACTGCTTGCAAAATACATTGAAGATGAGCCACCAAATGAGTGGATGTTGGATGAAGAGCTACTATAAGATGATGAGCCATCTGAAGATGAAGCTGAAATTGACATCAATTCAAAAGGGAAACCAAAATCTGTAGCTTCAAGAACTAGAGGTAAAAGAGCTCGTACAATTCAAGATGTTGAAGATGAGGAGGAAGAGGAGGAAGTGGCAGAAGAAGAGGAGATGGAAGAAGAGGATGAGAACCAAGAAGCTGGGGAAGACAATGATGAAGACCAAGAAGTCTTCAATATGACTGGAGAAGATGAAGAGGTTGGTGAATGACTTGTGCATCTTGCTTCTTGCATGACCAAACTTGAATCTGTTTTATTTTGCATGATGGTCATGGCCTGACAGTGTCGTGCACTCTTGTTGTCACTTGTCAACTTTATTCATGTGTCATGCACTCATTTTTATTTTTAATTCTGTGAATCTGTGATGGATCATGGATGGATGGTAATCAGGTCATGGTTTGATGGATGTAGATTACAAAGTCTGAACTTATTTATTTGATGATGAGTGCCTATGAACCGACTATGTTGGTGGTTCTTTGATATCATGATATGGTTGGCTGGTTGCATAATTCTATGATGGATTTGTTTGGATGGTTACTACTTACATGGTTGAATATTTCCTGATGGACCAATTGTTCAATTCAAGTGTCATATTATTTTCAACTGATTAGAAATATACATAATAATATCTAATTTGCAAGTGGTTTTACAAATCTGCTATGCGGACATAGCGTCCGCAATATCACCCGCTATCCTTATTCCGCTATGTCGGCCTTAATCCGCTATCACCCCGCTATCCGCTATTTAAAATCATGCCCTCGGGGCTGAGGGTTTATACCAGTAGCTATGTGTTTAATCTCTCTCTCTCTCTCTCTCGTGTTCTTGAGATTGCACAATCTTGATGTATGGCGGGCTTTGTTAATATAGTTGGATCATATGGTCTTTTCCCCCTCTCTATCTTGTTATGATGAGTTGAGTTTTCCCTTTGAGATTTTGTTTTATCAGATTGAATACTTTTATGGATTTGAGAGCACTTGATATATGTCTTGCATATGAATACCCGTGGTGACAATGGGGTATTATATTGATTCACTTGATATATGTTTTGGCACTCAACACGCAAATTCCCAAGGTGACATTGGGGTAATCTATGCATAGGGGTTGATGCACGTTTTCGTCCTTGTTTCTCCGGTAGAAATCTTGGGGCACTCTTTGAGGTTCTTTGTGTTGGATTGAGTATTATGAATCTAAAGCTGTTTGATGCATATCGTATAATCAACTCACGGATACTCGCGGTGACATTGGAGTATCTAGGTGACATTAGAGTTGGTTGATGTGTATCATATGGTGTTATTTTAGTATGAACTCTTGGTTAGATCAATCGGAAAGAACAACTTAGTGTTATTTTAGTACGAACTCTAGGATAGATTGATAGGAAAGAATAGCTTTGAGGTGGTTTTGTACCCTACAAACAACTTCTTCTTATGTTCTCCGCTAGATAGGAACTTTGGAGTGATTCTTCATCGCATGATGAGGGATGGATATATGATCCAATTATATTAGCATTATTGAGAGATTGCACTAGCGAAAGTACAGACCCTAGGCCTCATTTTCAAGCACTTCAATACCGTTTGTGCTTCATTTTATCAATCGCTACCTTGCTGTTTTTTTATTGTTCCTATTACAAAAATAAATATCTACTATCATTACTACACTTGTATCACCATCTCTTCACCGAACTAGTGCACCTATACAAATTACCATTGTATTTGGTGTGTTGGGGACACAAGAGACTTTTTGTTATTTGGTTGTAGTTTTTTTTAGATAGACCATCTTCATCCTACGCCTCCCACGGATTGATAAACCTTAGGTCATCCACTTGCGGGAAAATTGCTACTGTCCTACAAAACTCTGCGCTTGGAGGCCCAACACGAGTCTACAAGAATAAATTTGCGTAGTAGACATCAGGGATGCCCAAGGCACTTCAAGTAAATATTCAAGGAGACTCAAGCATCTAAGCTTGGGAATTCCCCGAAGGCATCCCATCCTTCTTCAACAATTATCGGTATGTTTTGATTTTTATTTTGTTCACATGGTATGCGCAAATTCTGGGAGCATCTTTTGTGTTTATTTTTTCCTTTTTCTTTTATGCACCATGCTGGTATGAGATAATCCTTGGTTGATATATAGAATGATCTATGCACTTCACTTATATCTTTTTAGTATGGCTTTATAGAATGCTTAATGTGCTTCACTTATATCTTTTGAAGTTTGGATTGCCTATTTCTCTACATAGGAAAACCGTCATTTGTATAATGCTCTTTTGCTTCACTTATATTTGTTAGAGCGTGGGCATATCTTTTGTAGAAAGAATTAAACTCTCATGCTTCACTTATATCTATTTAGAGAGTTGACAGGAATTGGTCATTCACATGGTTAGTCATTAAATCCTACATAAAACTTGGAGATCACTGAATATGATATGTTTGATTACTTGCAATAGTTTTGTGAAATAGAGATGGTAATATGTGGGAGGTACTAGTGAATGATTGTGGTTTAGTAAGAATATTGGTGTTAAGGTTTGTGATTCCCAAAGCATGCACGTATGTGATGAAGTTGGAGCATGATTTATTTTTTGGTTGTCTTCCTTATGAGTGGCGGTCGGGGGAGAGCGATGGTCTTTTCCTACCAATCTATCCCCCTAGGGGCATGTGTAGTAGTACTTTGCTTCGAGGGCTAATAAAACTTTCACAATAAGTATATGAGTTCTTTATGACTAATGTTGAGTCCATGGATTATACACACTCTCACCCTTCCACCATTGCTAGGCTCTCTAGTACCGCGCAACTTTCACCGGTGGATAAACCCTCCTTATACCTTCCTCAAAACAGCCACCATACCTACCTATCATAGCATTTTCATAGCCATTCCGAGATATATTGCCATGCAACTTCCATCATCATCATATACATGACTTGGGCGTTCATTGTCATATTGCTTTGCATGATCGTAAGGTAGCTAGCATGATATTTTCATGGCTTGTCCATTTTTTGATATCTTTGCTATGCTAGATCATTGCATATCTTGGAACACTGCCAGATGCATCCATATAGAGTCATCATGTATTAGTTTTATTGAGTTGTAAGTAAATAAAAGTGTGATGATCATCATTATTAGAGCATTGTCCCATGTGAGGAAAGGAAGATGGAGACTATGATTCCCTCACAAGTTGGGATGAGACTCCGGACTTAAAAATAAAATAAAAGGAGACCAAAGAGCCCAAAATAGAAAAACAGGCCAAAGAGCCCCAAAAAATGAGAGACAAAGAGAGAAGGGGCAATGCTACTATCCTTTACCACACTTGTGCTTCACAGTAGCACCATGTTTTTCATATAGAGAGTCTCCTATGTTGTCACTTTCACATACTAGTGGGAATTTTTCATTATAAAACTTGATTTGTATATTCCGATGACGGGCTTCCTCAAATGCCCGTGGTCTTCATGAGCAAGCAAGTTGGATGCACACCCACTTAGTTTCCAGTTTGAGATTTCATACACTTATAACTCTAGTGCATCCGTTGCATGGCAATCCTTAATCACTTGCATCGGTATCAATTGATGGGCATCTCCATAGCCCATTAATTTGCCTAGTTGACGTGAGACTTTCTCCTTTTTTTCTTCTCCTCACAACCTCCACCATATTCTATTCCACCTATAGTGCTATATCCATGGCTCACACTCATGTATTGCGTGAAAATTGAAAAAGCTTGAGAACATTAAAATTATGAAACAATTGCTTGGCTTGTAATCGGCGTTGTGAATGATGAAATATTTTGTGTGATGAAGATGGAGCATAGCTAGACTATATGATTTTGTAGGGATAACGTTCTTTAGCATAGATATTTTGAAAGACATGATTGTTTGTTGGGATGCCTGAGTATTAATGACTTTATGTCAAATGATAGACTATTGCTTTGAATCACTCGTATCTTAATATTCATGCCATGATTAGATTAGATGATCAAGATTATGCTAGGTAGCATTCCACATAAAAAATATCTTTTTTATCATTTACCTACTCCAGGACGAGCAGGAATTAAGCTTGGGGATGCTGATACGTCTCTGCCGTATCTATAATTTTTGATTGTTTCATACCAATATTCTACAACTTTCATATACTTTTGGCAACTTTTTATATTATTTTTGGGACTAACATATTGATCCAGTGCCCAGTGCCAGTTCCTGTTTGTTACATGTTTTTGTTTCGCAGAATATCCATAGCCAACAAAGTCCAAACGTGATAAAAATTTATGGAGATTTATTTTGGAATATATGTGATTTTTTAGAAAAACAATCAACGTGAGACGATGCCCGAGGGGCCCACAAGCCCTAGGGGCGTGCCCCTACCCTGGGCACACCTGGGAGGTTTGTGGCCACCCTGTAAGGTGGTTGGTGCCCTTCTTCAGCCGCAAGAAAGATAGTAACCTGATAAAAATCGTGTTAAAATTTCAGCCCAATCGGAGTTACGGATCTCCGGGAATTTAAGAAATGGTGAAAGGCCAGAAAACAGGAACGCAAAAACAGAAGGAAACAGAGAGGGAGATCCTATCTTGGAGGGGATCCGTCGCCATGGAGGCCAAGGACCAGAGGGGAAACCCTCCTCCCATCTAGGGGGGAGGCCAAGGAAGAAGAAGGAGGGGGGCTCTCTCCCCCTCTCTCCCGGTGGCACCGGAACACCGCCGGGGCCATCATCATGATGACGATCTACACCAAACAACTTCGTCGCCATCATCACCAACTCTCTACCCCTCTACGCAGTTGTGTAACACCCCTTTCTCCGCTGTAATCTCTACTTAAACATGGTGCTCAATGCTATATATTATTATCCAATGATGTGTGGCTATCCTATGATGTTTGAGTAGATCCGTTTTGTCCTATGGGTTGATTGATGATCATGATTGGTTTGAGTTATATGTTTTATTATTGGTTTGTCCTATGTTTCTCTCCATGTCGTGCAAGC